AATTCCCCAGCCAGCCCTGCTGGCTGGGGGATTCTGGGAGTTGAAGTCCACGCATCTTAAAGTTGCCAAGGTTGAGAAAACACTGTCTAAGGGCGGAGCATACCACCAGTAGCACATACAGCAAGTTTTGCACAGCCTTCCCAAGTGGTATCAACAGAATTGGAGTCTTGTTAGAATTTTGCATCCAGGCAACACTGCAGGGCAGGGCTGTGGAGGGAATATCACAGAAAATTTTGCAAACCTTTTCGAAGGAGGGTGGGTGCACAAAAGAAAAAAATCAGACAGACTCTGAAGAAAACAAGGAAACATTTGGCCGGGCACTCCCTACTGTGGATCACTTCATAGATGTGGTGCACTCTCTTCAAGGCATTACACCCGTCCAGATTCCAGAGAGATAAGATCTCTTCTCAACCAATTAAGAAAAATGGGAAGACGTGTCCCTTAAAGGGAAGATACCCGCAGCTCTCTAGCTGTGGAAGAGAAGGGTGGAAAAGATCTCACCATCAGATTTCAACCTTCGTGTCCCTGCAGCACACAGAGAAGCGTCTCTGTGGCTTGGTGTGGCAAAAAGGAGGCCAGCCAAGGGTGCCACCCACCAGCCCCATACTAAGTAATAACCGACTATTTATGATGAGAAACGCATTTTCTCTCTCGCCTTCTTTAAGCTAGGCAGGCAAATCAGGGGTTCCCCTCTGTATTAGATATGCACCAACCCTGAATTAGAGGAAGGAGAACAGATGAGAGATGCAAACGGATCCAGCAGGAAGATCTCCAGGTGGTATCTACGGTAGGGTTTTGGCAGGGGGGAAAACCGCAAAAGATGGGGCAGCGCGGGCTGGGGAGGGGGCTGCAAAAGGGAGGCAAACGGCCTAGCAGGCGCCGCCAAACACGGTCCTCGGCTCCCGGGCGAGGGAGGAAGGACTGCCGCTGGAGCAAGCTGTCACCCCGACCCAGACCTCGCCGGAGAATCTGTCGTGCATCGCCCGGGGTCGAGCTAGAGATGCCAAGCGCGGCCGCCTCCGAGCACTCTCCTGCCCCGTTCCCACGATCCACCTTCAGCCAATGCGGTTTCCATTCTAAACACCTGAGAGAGCTGCATCGTGGGTACCCTTCCCTTAAGAAAACAGCGGAACCTTAAAAGCCGTCAGAAGGGAATCGCCGCATTTAGCGCTGCAACGCAAAGCTCCAAGCACGCAAACGCACAAACCCACCACTAGCATTGCAAGCTCCCGGGCAAGCGCGCGAGCCTAATATAGTGCACAAGGAGAGGGCGGGATAGAGGGAGAAAGAGAGAGAGTGGCGAGCAGCCAATGAGAAGCGGCGCGTCCGCGCGCGCGCGCTCGTTTCCCCAACCCGCGAAAGGAACGCCAAAGGCCTGCCTCTCCAGCGACCAATCAGGGGACGCGGAGCGAGCGAGCGGCGAGGCCGACTTCCCGGAGCGCGGGACCGCCCCTCGGGGTGCGCGCGGCGGGCCCAGAAGGGGGTGTGTCAGGGAACCCGGGAGAAGTAAAGGGGGGGAAGGGAGCCCGATAATG